CAGGCAGGGCTGGGACTAGCACCTACCTTCTGTCACCCAGCCCTTCTGGGGAGTCACACTCCTGCTCCCCAGAACCCCAGGTGCTCCCTCACAACCGCAGACACAGGCGCTCACATTTAAAAGGGCAGGAAGGCTGCAGCAGGGGTTACAGGACTGGGAAGTCAAGAAACCCCAAGAGACAGGGTGTCGTCCAGGTCCCAGCTGTGCGGCTGCAGCTGTGTGACCTGCAGCTCCCTCTCTGCCGACTTCTTCATCTGAAAAAAGGAGGGGCTCTTGGTGTTATTTGGGCCCGGCCCAGCTCTGCCACTTTGTGGCCTCATTCCCCCTGGGGAGGACACACCAGTTCTAGGGGCCACTGCGTGGCAGCTCCACTGGCCTCTGTGTTTGAGAACTTGTATATTGTGGACGGCCTGTCTCCCCATCGGGATGTCGGCTCAGTGAGCAGACTCTTTTGTTTACTGCTATAGACGCAGTGCTTGGAACAGTGGCACAGAAAAGGTGCTCAGCAAACAGGTGAATGACTGTAGGAGCATGCTTCCCTTGCTCCACGCCTTGACCAGGAGGAACCCACGTGAAGACCCGAGGGTGGGGGAGGTTCAGGGTATTTTCACATCACCCAGCAGGTTGCTGGCAGGGCCCGTGCAGCCTGAGAGTCAATGCTTTCCTGTGCGGCCACCGGATTCAGTTCTGGGAGTCAGAATGTGAGCATAATGCAGCCCCCTGCCCTCAGCTGGGCTCAGTGGAGAGGAGGATCCTGGGCTCCAGACACTAACCTCCACTCACTTCCACATCTCCCCCGTGGCCCAGTGACCTCCCACCCAGGGGCATCTTCAGCCCATCTCCACCCTGGCTCTGAGGTCTCTCCTGGCCTCACCTCCCTTTCTGGTGCCCTGCATGGCCCAGTTCCAGCAGCGCCTGCCCGAACATCTTCTCAGAGGCGCAGTGACCCCCCGTACCCCAACTGTGAGAGCACTACAGCCTCCCCATCACCCAGAGCCCCTGCATCACTCAGGCAGGCAGGCTGTGGTCAGGGTCGGCTCAGCCTGCCCCAGGGGGTCGAGGTCTGTGTTGATGCTGCAGGGGGTGGAAACTGGCTGGGGAAACTGAGTCATTCTCCGAGACTCTCCCTAGGTTGGTATTGGACCCAAGACAGCAGCCAAATGGTGCCAATGGTCATCTGACACAGCTTGGGGACAGTGCCTCAGGAAAGTGGCTAGAAGGAGAGGAGGGCATAGGGGAGGTTGTCCGTCTCAGCAGGTCAGCCACAGCCTGAGTCTGGTCCTAACTGTTAATTCAAGTGCTCCTCCTGCAGATGCGGATCCTCTGACCTCTGCCCCTCTATGACCTCTGTCTCCTCCTCAGATCAGGGCAAACCAAGGTGGGGGCACTCCATTTCCTCTTCCTCCTGGATAGAGAGTCCCAAGTAGTGGTCATTACCGTTGTATCACTGCTGGCCAGGTTCTCTTGGACGCATAGCATCCACCACAGGAGGAAGGCCTAATTATTCCCATTTTATAGACCTAAAAACTTGACGGGGGGAGCAGTTATACAGCTGGAAGGCAGGGGAGCTGGGGTTTGAGCCAGTGGGCCTGAGCCTGCAGGAGGAGACCCACCCTCGGGACTCAGCATCCTGCCAGCCCCCGGTCTGAAAGACAAGCCTTACAATCACTCACCCAGGACCAAAGCCAACTGGAAATGGACAGAGTGCAAACTGAGCATGTTTGAAGATCCTAGAAACTAACGAACATTCCAACATTCGTGTTGGGTGGGGTCATCTCAGAACACCTGGAGGAAGTGAGTATGGATCTGGTGTCTTCGGTTGTTTGCAGCCTTCCAGAAAGGTAAGGCTAGTTGTAGCCTCCATGGGGAAATCTGGTTGCAGGAAGAGGGGGAGCCCAGTCCCCTGTACATCTAAAAAGTCCTCAAGAAGGAAGGGCCCAGGCCTGGAACAGAGAACTGAGAGCTGGCAGTCAAGGGAGATTCAGGGGAGGGAAGAAGGAATTAGCAAAAAACAAAAACAAAAAACTGGCGAAAGGGAAGTGGCTGGATAAAAAGGCACGTGTGGATGAATTTTAATGCAATCAGAAAGCTGTCATAATGATAATAAAGGAATATATTCAGACATCAGGAAAGGCGAAGGCGCAGAGCTGTGGTCCCAGCATTTAAATCAGACTCCGGTGGAGGAGGGGCCTTCTCTTTTCTCCTTTTTCCTTCCAAGAGAGGAGATGGAATTTTTAAGCAGGTGGGCCAGGATTTAGCAGAAGGCAGGTTTTCACTTCTGTGTCTTCCCAGAAATCCCATTTATTCAGAGTCTTTAAAAGGCACTGGGGGTGACGAGGCACTCTGGCCGGGCCTGGAGAGCAGAAGTTTCAGTTATTCAACTAAAGGCTTTAAAAGCTCCCGGTTCATTTCATGTAAAATGCTGTTGCTGCTTCTGGGAGTTAAACATAAGCGGTTGCCCCTTCTCTCCTCCGTCTCTGCCTTCTCCTCTGCCCATCTTTTCTCTCTGCTCTTTGTTTCTAATTCTTTTCTCTCTGTCTCTGCCCTTTGCCCTCCCTCTCTGCTCCTAACCCCATCTCCTCCCATCCCTTCTCAGCTTCACCCCTTCCACTCTCTCTCTTCCTTCCTCTTGGTTTCCCAGTCTCTGCTCCCCCATCCCAGAGCTTGGAGTCGGTGAGCCCTGGAGATGGGGCAAGGGTACGCCCAGCCCAGCCACAGCCCAAGGAGCCAGATCGAGTAGCCCAGGCTGGGGCAGGTGGCAGGGCCAGGGCTCCAGGCCCAGAGCTTGGGCTGAAGCCCACCAGTGGTGGAGGTCCAGCCTGGTGCGCCCTACCCGGAAATGGTACAGGAACTGGCAATAATGCCCTGCAGAGGATGGAAGCAGTTGGAACCCAGGGCCACCTTATCACAGAGAACTTGCTCCGTGCTGAGTGCTCTGGGCTGCCGGGTACCAGCAGGGCAGCGGCCAGGCTTCCTGAAGAGGAGGACTCTGGGGTGGCTTGCGAAGGAGTACAGGGGCCTGGAGCGTCCCTCTGCTTTGCTCCAGCCCCCAGGACAGCCCCTCAGCTCTACATGAACTCTCCCGGCAGTGTGGGCAAGGGGGGCTCTCTGGGGCAGGAGGTACCAGCTGCCCTGAATACAGAGGGACGTAGTCCCAGAGTGCCCTTGCGTTCAGAGGAAACCAGGAACCCATGGCCATGCGCAGTTTTGGGGGGTGAGCATTTCTGCAGCCTCATCTGCGTGTGCCTGTGTGTATCAGTTATTCAAGAGCCAGCGAACATCTATTGAGTCCCCACAGAGGGCGGGCACCACGGGAACCCTGTTCCAACTACTGTGGCTGCACAACAACTTAGTCCCAGACCGAGTGCAGTAAAACAACAGTTTATCATGCTCGCGGATTCTGTGGGTCAGGAACTCAGGGCACAGCATGAAGGGCTGTCTGCTCCAGGATGTCTGGGTCTCAGCTGGAGGACTCCAAGGCTGGGGGCTGGACTCATTCACTGCCATGTCTGGTGGTTGATGCTGGCTGTCAGCTGGGGGTCTGGGTTCCTTTCCGTGTGGACTCTCCAGGTGGGCTCCTCGGGGGTTCTTCACAGCACGGTGCTGGCTTCCACAGAGCAAGTATTTCCCAAAGAGAAAGCTAGACGGAAGCTGATCCCTTTTATGAGCCAGCCTTGGAAGTCAGCTGGTGACTTCTGCCATTCTTTACTGGCTGGAGCAGTCACAGCCCCGCCCAGATTCAAGGGGAGGGAACAGAGACCCCACCTCTCAGTGGGAGGAGTGAAAGTCACTTTGAAATAAGAGCTTGTGGGATAGGGAATTTTTTTTGCAGTCGCTTGCTGTTGCTACAGATGCACACAGCCCGACGTGATCCCTGTCACCCGAAGCAAACAGCTGACTGCGGTCAACAAACTCCTCGGTCCTCAACACAAGTGCAGGGAAGCTGCTGAGGGAGCCCAGCTTCAGGAACAGGCTCCCCAACAGTGCCCAGGGCTGAATTCTGCAGGAACAAATAGGAAGGACCAGACCAAGAAAGGGGTAGCAGATGGAGGTAAAACCATGTGAGACAGAAAAAAGATATGCGCCTGGGCCTGGCATATCTCTGGGCCTTCCATAACTCTGTCCTGAGGGCCTGCTATGTGCCAGGTACTGGTACACAGACCAGCAGAGGCCTGGTCTCTTTCCCCACGGAGCATACATGGGGGTGTGGGGCAGGGAGCTAGACAGAAATCAACAGCACAGGCAAAGCAGTAAATAATTGTCCTTTGAAATCTGGGCCATGGGAGTGAGGGGCTGAGACAGAGAATAAAGGAGAGGAAGAAAGAGGGGCCTTAGTGAGGAAGCAATATTTAAACTGAGGCCTAGAAGAGAAGGATTCAGCCTTGTGATGTGGAGGGCACTCAGGCAGAGAAAAGAGCATATGCAAAGGCCCTGTGGCAGACTTGCCTGTTGTGAGTTAATTTTGGTAACTGTGGGTGAAGGTGGGGAGAAAAGTGTGTGTCCAAGAGGAAGGAAGAAGGGAAGGGAGGGCTGCTGAAACAACCTGTGTACCTTGGGTGAGCAGCCAGACCAGTGGCCTTCTCCCTCAGTGTGCAGCCTGTCCTCTAGGCAGGAGGGGGCAAAGTCGCTGAGATTCAGCTCCTCGCTTGACACAACCCCTTGCCTCCTGCTCTGGCTGTGCCCTCCCTCTCTCCCCAACGCCCCCCC